CATCGCTCCCTCCCCAGGGGCCTGGAGGGGAAGGAGCCTTTTGAAGAGGGAAAAGTGGCCACGGGGGGGATTTGTGCCTGTGCAGGATGAGGCCTTGCCAGAAAAACCCTGCAGGAACAACATGGTGGGAGAGGGGACATGAAATGCTCTTGCCTGGCTGGGGGCACCCCATCCCCAAGCCCCCTGGTCCAAGCTGGAGGATGGGGACACACTCCTGGTGCTCACTGTGGTCACAGCACGCAGGGACACGACCAGAAGCACCAAATCTGTGACACACACACTCAAAACGAGCAGCGCAGGAGACACCAGCTACCATCACCAGCACCTCCATGAGCGTTCCCACTGCTGAGTGGGTGACAAGGGGGAATGCAGGGACCTCACTGCCCCTCGCTCTTCAGGTGTGGAAACCCTTCCTCATCCTCACCCTCCATTTCACCATTCAGCCCAGGACAGGAGAAAATTAAACTGTAACATGAGAGCAGGGAGCTCTGTGCCACTGGGTGAGGGCTGCAGCCCCCAGTTCCCTGCTCCAGCATCCCCCTCCCTCCTCTACACTTTCCAGGGGGGGAGGAAGAAAACCAGCTCCGTTCACCCAAACTTATGCAGTATTAAACTTCAGAAAGCAACTGTACATTCAAAGAGGTCCAGGCCCTCACCATGCAAGTGAAGAGGGCTCAGCACACCCCAGCACAGCTGCCTTGCACCCCTTCCCACCTCCCTGGCAGTGGCACACGGGGCTCTCTGCACGCTCCCAGCCTGAGGGATGTTTTTTACCCCAGGTGAGCAGGGCTGGGTATAGATGTGCTTCCCCACAAGGGTTATGGTGGGTGATCAAGGCCTCTTGGTCTCCCTTTCCTCCTCCACACAGTGGCCAGGACAGCAGGGGTGGGGTGGAAATCAGAAACAAGGGGTTGAGGGTAAAGGAGGTTTAGAAAAAGGAGAGAGAAGTTAAGGAAGACTGAATGGCAGCAAGAAAAATGTCAAAGGTGGGGGGGGAAGGCATTTAAAAGGAAAAAAAAAACCAAATTATTTTGCACAAGGGTTCCTAAGAGATGGGTAGAAAGGGGCTGGTGCTGCATGAGGGACTTGGGAGAAGGGGGGCAGAAGAGACAGCAGAGACGTGAGAGCAGTGGGAAGGGAAGGAAAGGGAAGGAAAGGGAAAGGGAAAGGAAGAGAAAGGGAAGGCAGCCAGCAGGTGGGTGTGATGGGGGAGGCCCTGGAGATGATCCCATTTACCCAGGAACAGACTAAACATCCCTGTATAGCTTCCAGCTATTCATTTTTCCATGTTCTGCCTCTTGTGAATTATTTTGCAAGCAGCTGTGGATGCGAGAAGGCTTTGCACCAGGGCTGCAACTTGGCCGAGTCGGGCTCTTGCTAAATAAAGAGCTGCAGAGAAA